CGGGTTCTCTAACACCCCCCGAGCCGCGGCCGCGCCGGGCTGTGGCTGCTGTGCAGGCTCAGTAAATGAGAGGAACCGTCTGAATTGTGCTCATGACGCGTTCCAGGAACAGGTAGTCACTGACAGACACCGAGCTAAAAGGCCCAGAAGAAGCATCCAAATGCTTGCCCCTTCTGGCTGTGTTTGCACTTGAGTGAAACAGTCAGGGCAGCAGTCCAGTTTTACACCAGCTGGTTCCAGTGAAGACACACCGGGTAAATCCTGAAGGGTTATGGTTCGGGAGTATTTTCTTTTTTGAGATGAGGAGACTTCTGGAACACCACACTCTGACCAAAATCCTTCTATACTGGAGAGTTGAGGGGGGTGGCTTTTTTCTTCTGTAACTCATGTTAAACGGAACAGTGAGCCACAAATTCTAATTTTGCAGTCAGCTTGGGAATTTGAACTGTGTTTCTAATAGATTTTTCTTCCTCAAGCTGTATTGTGCTAGTAGAGGGAACCAATTTGCATAACTTCTGTCAGTCTGAAGCACTGCCTGATCGCTTTCTGGTACAGAAGGTTAGTTTAAATGGTCTTTATATTTATGATCTGATTAATTTTTCATGTTGGGAAATGTTTTCATGATTCTGTATGGTTAGAGAACATGTGGAAATTAAATGTACTGAAAGAAATGCCAGCCTATTTGGAGAAGCAATAATTTTGTTTCTGTTTTTTTCAGCATAAAAATCCAGAATGTCTAACCTGGCCCAAACGTTAATTCTCCAGTCTCAGGGTTAGCTTGTGGAGCAGTGTATGTTTCTGTATTATTTGCCCATATTTACACTAATAATGAATAATGTCCTGTTAGGGCTTTCTGATCAGCTTTTTGGCTTTCCAGCAGAGGCCTTTTCTTTTGGTGAAATTTATTATTTGATATTTCAGTAGCTTTGATGGTTATAGATCTGTGCAAGGTTAAACTTGGAGATAGCAGACAGTTTCCAAACAGTATATAGGATAAATCTTTCTGTCTAATAGAACTTTATGGCAGTGAAAAAGCAATATTCCTTTGTAGCCTGGTAGATTTTGTTGATATTTAATTACCATAGCTCTTAAAGAAAAGATATCATGTAATGAAGACTGGGTGGAGGAAAAACAGTATCAGCTCTGTACTGCTTTATGCCACGTATGTAATCCTCAGCAGTGGCAGGAACACATCGCAGGAGGAGAAGGGATCTCAGCACAGTTCTGTTTCAGTCCAATCACTCCTGAAACATCAGGTAAACTATCAAAAAAAGAAAGGAGAATGTCTTCTAGCTCATGATCAGTTGCATTTTTCAAGTTATCTCATTAAGATACTTCAGCTCTTTAAAAAGAAAAATATTTCCCGCAGTAATTCTCAAAGACAAATAAATCACCCTTCTGAATGAGATGTCACTCCCGGCGGCCGGTGCATATTGTTCTTCTCCCGCAGTTTTTGAACCCCGGGAGCTGCAGAACTTGGCGGTCCCGCACTGCTGCGGCTGCCCGGGGCAGCGCCGCGGGCTCGGCAGGCAGCGCTGCCAGCAGCCGCCCACCGGCACGGCCGGGCAGCGGCCCCGGCCCGGGCGGGGCGGGGGGTCCGGGCGCCGCCTGATTGGCCGCAGCGAGGGGCCCCGCGGAAGGTGCCGCGGGCGGCGGCGGGGGCGGCGCGGTGGGTGCCCGCAGAATGGGCGGCAGAGCCGGCTTCTTCGAGGTGGGTGCGGGCGGCGCCGGGGGCGGGGGGCGGCCGAGGCGAGGCGAGCCCGGGCCAGGTCCCGCAGCGCAGCATCCTGCCGCCGGTGGACGGGGCTGCCCGGGATCCCGGCGGGCTCCTTTCTCTTCCCCCTCCATCTGCATTGAAGCGCCGGGGAGCCGGAGCCAGCCGCTCCCGACTCTGCCGAGGGAAGTGACCGCCGCCGGAGCCGGGCAGAGGGGCCCGGAGGGGCACGCTGCTCCCGGGGGTTTCACTGGGGCGAGGGAGCAAAGGCGGCTGCCGCCCGCCCCGTCCTCTCCTTCCCCGGGCACGTTCCCCTCGCCGTTCCCGATCCCCGCGTCCCCGGTGTTCCCGGAGAGCGGGGCGGAGGGAATCCCCGGGCTTCCCGGCGCTCTCGCGGAGGCGCCGGATCAATGGCTCTGGGCTTCTCGCGGGTCCTGCCTAGGGCAGCACCGCGGGCAGCCTGCGCTGGCTCTGGCAGCGCGTCCCAGCCCTACGGAAAGAGCGAGAGCGAGGAATGTTCTCGGCACCTTCTGTCCCCAACTTCTCGGAAAACCCCGTGGCCAGCCGCTGTGCCCCTCGCCGGCAGCCGTCCCGCGCAGCCTTCCGGCCCGGTGCAGGCGTGGCCGCGGGCGGCAGCGCTCCGGGCCGGCTCGGCGGCAGGGAACCGGCGGGCCAGTTGGTGCCCTGGCCGAGAGGACAGTGCCCGTGCCCGGCGGATACGGGCAAGAGCCCTCTGCTAGCACGGAGCGCTCGTCTTGAGTGGGGAATGAAAAAAGCCGGGCGGAGTTTAGTACAGTCAGCTAGCTCCTTGTGCTCGCAGAAAGCGCAGAGTAACGTGCACCTGGGGAGCTTCAAGGGTAACATCTCATCCACTTACATAAACAGCCACACCGACTCTTTGCTAGAATTAGTTAGGCTGGCTAATACAAAAAATCTAAAGAGCGGCTTGTATTACAAAAACAGGTATGTACAAGCTAAATCACAGCAATCCTGAATGTGTTTCTGCAGGCTTATACTTGGGTTTCTCAATCACGACTTACCTAAAAAAAAATGCACAGGGAGGAATGTTCCTCCTCCTGTGCAAATTACAAATCAGTTGTTGTTATAACACTAATAGAATCCAAAGTCATCTGAAAATCATCTACCCCATTAGTAACTCACCATGACCTAAAAGTTCAGGTTTTACTTTTCAAAGATATAAAAATGATCCAGACATCACAATTCAGCAAAATAAACTGCCTATAGCTATTTTGGGTGTGAGCTAGGCACCTGCTTTTTCCTCAGCAGTGCTGACTTCCCAGGATTGTTTTAGGAAAAACAACCAAGCTTTTACTGCCTCATGGATTTCTAACAGTGAGGTAGAACTCAAACTGTTGTGAGATCCAAATGCAGGAGCAAGCACATGCGTAATACCCTTCTGATTGCCCTTAGTCACTTCAGGTTTGCTCTTCTGCCTAGACTTATTTGAACTCCTGAAGAGCACTAGTTACTAGAAGACCTCAAAAGCACGGATATCATTATTGTTACCTGATTTTGCAGATGGGGAAACACACAAAAGTTGAATGACCTGCTCAGTCTTGCTAGACAGGACAATAGCAGGAGATCCAGGTCTTTGGAGTCCTAAATCAAGATCTCGTGTTTAAGCAATACTAAAGCAAACTCAGCATGATTCATGAATTTACATGTCAGCCTTGTATGTCTTAGTCCTTTTCTTTTTATAGCAGATAATGGGTGGAAAGAGATTTGCCCAGCTCATCCCGTGCGTGAGCTGTCTCAGGGGCAGGATGTGGACAAAGGCTGCCTAAGTAGCACCAGCAATGCAGTTCCCTATTGCTTTCTGCACTGTTCTCCCTGATTTGTTTTCTGTTACAAATTCATTGACTTTGAATCCTGAATTGCATTTCCCCACCACACATTCAAAGCTGAGCTATGTAAAGAGAGAAGGTGAGTATCCCACTTCTCTCAGTAGTTCCTGGGGAGGCCAGGCAGAATTTCTACTGTTGTTATAAACTTTAGGGTTCACTCTTTGAGGAACTGTATAAATTTGTACTTTCCCCTAAGCATTTATAAATAATTTACTCTTTACTGTTCTTCTATGGTGCTTCCTGATAAGAATCACAAATCACTTCACAATCACCAAACTGTCATCTTTACTTCAGATGTTGGTTTGTTTCTACTTTCACCTCATTTTTTAATCACTAATAGTTCAGAAGAAGCTTCTCAAGGACAACTATAAATAAATATGCATATACTTGAAAATACTGCACCGGATAATTTGAGGAGATTCAACTCCAGACTGAGAGATGTATGACAGAGACTTGTATCTAGATTAATATTCTTTAGGAGTCTTAAATTCTCTAAGTTGCATAGAGAACAACTCTTCTGACCTATTTGAGGTTTGTTTCAGAGCTTATGATACTGTTTATCCTAACAGTGCCTCTTTTCCTCTTTCCCTACGAAAAGAGGAAAAGATGAGCCTATGTGATGTGCTCAGATATAAATATCTCCAGTAGAGCTCTGAAGTTAGACTAATGAATTGTACTATTTCGTTTTACTTGACAGGTTTAGGTCTTCAAAAGCATTTCATGTAAAGAAAATAGTATGGTGTTCTGACTTCCAAGAGGAAAGATCCTTGAACAAATATATTCATACTGTAGAGAATTAGTATCACAAGAGCCACAGTTGTACTTTTGCTTCCTTAATTAGTTTGGATAGTAAGTGCCTTTTGTGAGCAGCAATACCCAAAAATGTTTTGGAATCTTCACTCCCTGATGATAGATTGAGCTGACATGTGCAGTACAGTCTAAAAGCAATAATATACTGGCCCCCCTTGCTGGCATTTAAAGTTCCCTCCCTCTTCTGTCTGTGATGAAAACCCTCTGAATGTAAGGGGGTGGCGACTGCTGTCGGGCTGGCATGGCTGGGATGTCACAGCTCCTGTTACAAAGGCTGCTCCCTCTCAGAGCTATGCTGTCTAAAGCCTCAGCAAGTAAGAGCACTGAGAGCAAGTGCTAAAAGCAGAACTGCAGAACATTTCAAGATGCTGTATCTTCCAAGAATTGCCAGAAAGACAAGGCCACAGATCAGACATTTGAACAGTCATTTAAAGGGATAATTGAAAATTTCCCTGCTGTTTGAAGACATGTGCTCTGTTTTCACAAGTAACACTAAAGATTATTATCATAGAAAGCGACGAGATGACAGGGCAAACATTATCCCTTACTCTTTTAACACCACTTTTCCCCACACTTACCAACACTTCAACATACAGTTGTACTGCTTTACTTAGAAGACAGCAATTTGTCTTTTTTCCTCTGTGAAGCTTGGAAGAGAAACTTAATTTTGTATAGGAGAAGATGATAGTAAAACATTAATTGGTAGGAAGTACCTGGAACTACTCAGAATTTGAAGGCTACATTTGAAATTATAAGTCTTATATTAGGAAAAAAAAGGGCTTCTTTGAAGTGTATTTAGAAAAAAACCAAACCACCAGTTTTGTAAGTTCACCTGTCTGTATAATCTCTAAAATTCCCAGGGTTTCCAATCTTCCTGCGCTATCAAAAGGCAGCAGACCCATCCTTGATGCTGCTAGGTAAAAAACAAAGAAAAAAAACCTCTTCAATTTCTTCAATTCCATGTCAAAAGTATACACTGTATGTACATTTTGACATCCCTACAGCAAATTATGCACAATGAGTAGTAATGAAACTAGAAATACTGAAGTTTGATAATGCAAACACAGTGCTTATACAAAGAAATGATTGTGATTTCACAAAGAATTTGTGTAACTCTTCTACCTGAATATTGCCATTGTAGAAAACAACCATAAACTAAAGCCCCAAGGCAGTGAATATTCTCTTGCACAAGGAAAAGGCTGTGCAGTGGTGTTGGAAAACCTGGATGTCTACTTAGCGTTGAGTCAAAGCTGGCTCAGGTTCTCAGATGGAGGCACTCCAATGTGCTTCATAGTGACAGTGATACTCAGTGAATGATGTGACTTTTCAGTATGCCTGGGAAATTGGCAACATGCAGCTCTGTGTTAGCCAGCCTAAGTAAATATGCACTGAGTCAGTATTAACTGGTGGAGGTTCCTTTTCATCTTGTGTATCCTGCAAGATCTCATAGTAGTAAAAGCTGAAAAGTTCTCATAGATTTTCAAGAGCCAGAAGTCACTGTAAATGCCTTAATGACTTTTCCTTTCTTGAAAAATAAATCAGCCTCCCACCCCAAGTGAATAGACCTTCCTTTTCCTTCCTGACTGTTCTTATGCTGACTCATTTTATCTCTGCCAATTATGAATCCATGTCTTTCTGAAGGATGAGCATTTGTAGCTCTGGCTGTTAGCATCCCTAGGCCCAGGTCCACAAAGCAACTTGGGTTTTGCAATGTGTTTGGGTAGGCACCCAGCTCCAAGGTTAAATAGGACAATTTGGTCAGAGTATCCAAGTTTAATTCAACTCTTATCTCTTTACTGTGTGGTATCCCAGAAGGCATCTGCTGTAGAGAAATACTGAACAGAATTACAATGGAAGGGAGCAGTGATAAAAGGAGCCCAGAGAGACAGAAATTCAGGCTTTCTCTTTGGTAGGAGACAGCCCTTTTCACTGAATTCCTCTCCTGCCTGTGGTCTGCCTGTGGGAGAAATGGGGAATGGCAAAAGATATTCCAAAGCAATTTTCCCACTTCCTGACAGTGTGTCTAACTATTACATGTAAAGCATGAAGAACTAGATCATCTCCTTTGCTGACAGTTTAGTTTCATTCAGAAAGAATCTAAATGCTGTGCATTGTGCTGACCTTGGGATAAAGATGCTTACTGGATCAATATCCTTGGGGATTTAGATGAGAGCATGTCTAACTAGCAAATCAGAAACAGGTGGAAGAAATAAAAATGCAGTATGAGTGTCAGCACAGGTCAAACTCTGGCTTGCAGAAGAGGAGAACTTAGGAAGCTGAGGAGTAAATACCTAGAGTATCTCTTGTGAACCTGTTAGACATCTAAATTCTACAAAAGTGAAAATTCATTTTAGAAAACCCTTTGAGTATGAGCATCACTGTATGTCTTTATACACAGTGAAATAATGCAATAAGATTCTAATCTTGTGAAATATGAGCCATTGCTTCAGAGGTAAGGATTTGTTTAGTTGGACTGCTTAGAGAATAAGGCTTGGCATTCCACAGGTAAGATGATGAAATTTTGCTTTGTGAACATTTGCTTGGTTCTGGTTTGGGAATTTCTCCCATAGCATGTGGCTAAGCTGTGAGACTCCCTGCCTCAGGACTGGTTACACAAGTTTAAAAGGCAAATGCATAAACTAGTTGAAGAAAGAAATCCATGAAAAATTATTAAATACATGGGCAGAACTTCTGGTGCAGGAGAATCAAAATCACTGTCTTCCCTTTCCCTCAGTCACTACATTCTTGCCCTGTTTTATTGCTTCTTCTGAGTCACCTGCTGCTGGCTGTTTCAGAAAGCAATTCTAGATGGATCCTGAGACACATCCTCTGCTGCAGTTTGTACCTTTCGGTGCAAGAGAAGCTTCAGACTGAGAGTCAGTTGTAAAGCAGCAGCACAAACAGAATTTTCAGTGTAAGTACACTTACAGCAATCTCCCTTTGGCTTAACTCTTGACTTGAAGAAAACTTCTTGATATGCCCTAATGTGACATCACACTAAGGCATGCTTACTCCCTTCAGGAACAGCACAATCTACCAGAAAAGTCAAAGGAGATAGAGAAAATTAATAATTCTATAGGAAAAATGTTTAGAAATATTCAGTTTGCCACAGTTTGGACGGTGGCAACCAGTAGATTGGTTTTTTAAATTCAAATAAACTGATTTATGTAAGCATTCTGACAGTTTAGGGAGAATTCATTCTGCTCATTGCTCTTTCTCAGACTGGTTGGGTCCTATACTGTGAAATAAACTTTTTTTTAACTGTGTAATTTCAAAAGTAATCAATACAATATATGCTTATGTCAGTGCTTATAAAGTCTCACTCAAGTTTACTCAATCTGCTGATTACAAATGGTTTCAAATTAAACTTCTAAGATGCACAGACAGGATAAATATGTCAGTATTGCCGTAATAGTTATCACATTATTTTTGAAGATCTGTTGATCCTTTAGCACTTTAGCTATGGCTTTAAACTGCAGGAATTCAAGTGAACTATATTTTTGTAATCCTATTACAGAGACATTACATCTTAAAAACTCTTTTTAAACACTTTGCTCAGCTGTTTTTCCCTTATGAATACTTTTATTTTACCTTTTTATTTTCTGAATAAAAATTTAACAGCTGAATATACTTTTCTCTACTTATATTGTGTATTGATTATTCTTTACCCTCAACCTGTTCTAAACATTAATAATCAGGATTTTTTCTTTTACTAATGACACTATTGATCTTTAATCCTTATGCAATTGAAGAAATTTGTCTTCTAATCAAAGATATATATTTGTAGTCACTTACAAAAGAGTTTTTAAGGTCTTACACAAATCTGCCTATTGATTAAGTTCTACTCTAAGTAGTCTCAGAGAAGCTGTAGTTTAAAATGTCTTTAAAAATTCACCAAATAAATGGACTGTAAGTCTTACTGCACTAATGCAGGCCAACAGTTGATGTCCTATTGTGCTAAATGCTTTGAAAACACAATGAAATTGAAATTCTCTAAGCCAAACAATTTATGTTTAAAAGAGATGCTACCCATCAGTAAGTGTTCCAAGAACAGATTGCCGGGTGTCTGAAAACTGTTGCCAACCAATGCATTAACTGCCTTGGTGCTGTGCCTCAAGGCTGGAAACATTGTGTTCAGTGCTAGGGTGCTTCATGGGATTGGCCAGGATGTTCAGGAACTACGTTTCTTGCTTTGGATCAGGCTTTTCTGTTCCTTCTGCAGGGAACACCTACACTGGGGGATGTTCTGATAAATCTAAGAGTGTGATAGAGGAAACAGTCACCTTGCTTTCACTCTGTTGCTGCACAATTTGCTGTGGACTGAAGTGGAATCTAAAGCTGTGTTCTGGCATCCATCTTTCTGAAAAGGAAAAGAATGTTTGATATTTGCTCAGATCTTGAAAATAATTGAAAGTAAATTAAATGTTTGAAGGGGGGGGGGAAAGAAACATTGAGCAGTTTAGGTTGCAGGAGCCTTGTGGAAATCATGAAAACTCGTGCTCAAAGCAGATACAGCCAGATCAAATGGCATTGGGTCTTGTCCAGTCCAGCTTTAACTGTCTCCAGGAATGGAGATTCCTGACACATTCCCTCTCACCATTATCTCTGTGCACTTCCAAGAAGAGTCTGGATCCATCATCTCTGTAGGCTTCCTTTAGCTATTTGCATGGACCAGTAATAGGCAGGTATGACAGTTTGGCATTTGAAAGAATTGTGCTGGAACAGAACCAAATAACAGTGTAATCAAGCTTTATTTGTTTGTTTTACACACTGATTCTACAGAGATTTCTGTACAGCCACTCCCATGAAAACCATGGAGCTAAAGAAAAACTCTGTAACTTTCAGTCTGGTCTTGTGCCTAGCAAGAATAACCAGGCTAAAATACCATAAGTGGTAGGAAGATATTTAAACCACTGTAATTGACCTGGAGAATATCTCTCAAATACAACCACCAGAGGCCATAAATTAAAACTGCGCCTGGAGGATTCTGATAAAATATATATATATATATATATATATATATATATATATATATATATATATATATATTTGGGTTGGGTATGGAATGGGAAGGGCACTACTAAAAGTGTAGGGACTGCTGCAGTCTGCAGGGTATTCATTGACAGAAGAGCTTTGAGATACACCAGAGGTTTCAGTAGTCCTTGTAGCAACTTGGCATCAGAAGGGAAAAAAAGTGGTATACAGCCCCCTCTCTGCCCTGCCCTGTACTTGTTCTGTGGACTGCAAGTGTCAGAATAATGTATTTCAATAATAGTCTTCTGGGAAAGGAATCCATTTCATTTGCTTTCCCATGGAGATTTCACACAAGCAGATATTAAAACTGTAAATATGTGTTATTTTAAATATAAAAAAAATCAAGGGAAAACATATCCCAACAATCCATCAGATACTTGTTAGGTATCACAAAGGAGGAACACCACTTATCTTCCTCAATGTCCCGGTCAGAGCTTACAGTGCACAGGCAGAAACCACCATGGCATTAGTGTTCCTTGTGGAGATCAGATTTGATAGGTGGGACTGGAGCTCAAGTGCTCCATTGCTGTGGCAGAAGAGAATCCTTTGGGACAAGTGAAACAAGGAAATAAGATACTCCAACCAAGCGATCTCTTCAAAGCAACCCTCTGAGAAAGATACTGGACTGTGACTCCTATTTTTAGTGAGGAATCATATTTAAAGTCTAATATTAATCTATTCTCTTGGCCAGTTAATACCAAACATAATTAATTCTAGATGTTTATATAAAAACCCCAACAACTGCAGTGAGGTTTAGGGAGCTGCTGCAACTGGGCTTTGAAATGTCTGGGGACTTTTCTGCTTGGCTGTTGATCAAATCATAACATTTTGCCAAACTGCCATTTGATCATGGAAATAAACTGTTCTTTTCTTTTCAGAGCTGTAGCTAAACCTCTGCTTGGAATATGAAAAGCTATTATGTAATTATAAAACAAATGATTGAAGAGGCAAGAGTGACACTGACTATTCCTATAAGAAATGTTTAAGTGTTTGTGAAGCCCAGGTATTTAGCTGCATTTGTTCATTATGTCCACCAATATTTTCCACTCTCCTGACAATTAAAATATTTTTGAAATAATACACAATAATCTTCAAGCTTTATGTACTCAGAATATTTACTTATATTCATATATATAAATTTAATTTTTTTCTCAAGCTCTTTCTAATTTTATGAATCATAAAAGTATTGTTCCTTAGTGATTCCTGTGAAACTTCTCTACCCCTTACTTCTTCCTCTTGTTCTAGCATAAGAAAATATCCAAGATCACCTTTTTTGATCAAACACCTAGCTACTTCTGCTACTGAATATATCCAAGAAGACAATTCATTTGGCTTTTTTGTTTCCAAGTTGAGTGCTTTTGGAAACTGGTGATTGAAACTGTCTCTTGAGAACATCAAGAAGGTTTTAAACTCAATTCATAGATCAGAGAAAAACAGTGTCCCACTCTGAGAGTCACAGAAAATTGTGAATTTGGGAATCATTATTTAGCCAATAATGGTTAATTATAATTTTGTGTCCTCTCAGGTGGAAATCCTTGATTGGGAGACAAAGAAACAGCTATGCTTCCTAGATAAGGTAAAACAAAAATCTGCTTAAAAGACTAGGTGACTTTTTAAGAAATTATTAACTTTTCTGAAGTAAATATGGTGTTTATGAAGAGTATTTAATCTTCTGGTAGCCTTTCCTTGGCCACTTGCAATGATTATGCAAGCTTCATACTGACTGCAGTGTATTCCAACCCTTTTCCAGAGGGAGCTTTTGGGCAAAAAGGACAACTTCAGTTGTCCTTACTAAGTTGCTTTACTAAGAGGGTGCCTGTTGTTTGATACTCAGAAACTATCAAATTGTCACTGCTGTAACAGTAACTCTTGATCGCTGCTAGAGAAGCTGCCTCTGAAACAGGCGTCAAAAATTGTCGTGCCTTTTTCCTGTCAGTTCTTTGAAACCTTCATGCCAAGGGTAGACACCTGTACAAAACAGTTACATTGTCTAAGTCACATTTCTATTTGGCCTAATAGTCTTGCACCTAGTAGCTGTCATTCAAAACATGCATCTTATATTTACAATATTTTTGTTGCCTAGGTGGAACCAAATGCTACAATTAGAGAGATCAGATTGATGTTCCATAAATTATGTGAGTATAACTTCTGCAGCAGCTCACATCAGAATATCCAGTACATAAATAGGAAAAAAATTAAATAATTGAAACATAATGTACGCACACATAATGCTGATAACCTGCACATGAATGTGATCACAGCGAGATTTCAGTAAAATTATTTTATCCTATCCTGATACAGCTTTGTATTTTTTTTCTGCTGTATAATTATCACCTATATTAGTGTTGAATAAATATTTAAAAAACCTTTAAACAAAGCTCATCTTGTATTGCGTTCATTATAGTAGTGGGTGATCTAAACTGAACATTGTGTATCACACAACTCTGTATGGTCTTACAGATCCTCGGTGGTACCCAGCAAGGCAGTCAATAAAACTTGATCCAAGTAAGTACTTGTGAGGTCTGCAGTAACTAAACTGAGCAGGGCCCTGGCAGGAAAGGTGTGCTTAAGGGTGTTGGCTCTTAAGAATCTGTTTCCAGCCATTTTAATTAGCACTGTGAAAGCTGAAGAGAATCCAGAACAAATATAATTCTTTTGAAGGAAACATAGTTACACCCTGGTGCTTGGTAATTACCTCAGGAGTTCGCACGTTGTTCCAATGCACTTTCTAACTACTGAGCACTGTTGCTCTCCAGAGAGGCAGCACAGGATCTAGATATTCACTGCCCTTAGCTGCAGTCAGATGATCTCCATGATGATGCTCAGCTGGAGTACCAAAAAGGGCTGTGAGTTTGAGCTATCAATTCACATAATCCTCTGTTCTCAGGCAGGAATTACAGTTCTTTTGAGGGAAGCTAATGCAGAACACATTGCTGTGGACATAGCAATTGCTGACAAAGCTGATGACAGCTGGCTGACTTCATTAATACACTTGTAGGTATTGCTACTAGAAGCCTCTTACATGGCCTGAGTCCACAAAAGTCTAATTGCCAAACTGTGTTAATTCATCTTAGCTAAAATATAACACTTTCTTCCTTTGCTTTCATTAAGGATAAGTTTAAACAATCCCTTAAAAGTATGCTGGTGAAGATTTGCTCATTGTGTAAAATCTATCCATGGAAAACAGATGTATCTTGTTTCCTTCTTTGAAAGTCTCCCTTGTCAGATTCTTCTATGAATTTACATAGTGAGACTTGCCATGAGAAAATGCTGGCCTTTGGATGTTCTTCCAAATCTAGACATTGAAAGCTCAAGTGCAGTGGAATCACCTCATAGCTGGTTGTTTGGGAAAAGAAAGGCAGTGAAAATTTCTATAGGAGAGTTTTCCAAACACAGCTTATCCTACCTTCTGTTTGTCTGATGATGAGCAATGAGAAAAGCAGAAGAGAGAGAGAGGTGCAGCTGACTAGGAGGTCAGGAAACTGTCATAAAGGGCATTGCCCCATCAACAAATTCTGCTGTTGGCAGTGATGAAGAAAGTCTACTAGACTAGACAGGCACATAGGATTGGGAATTCTTTTAACTGTTTTGGTGTGAATAGAGGACCCAGGCTTATATGTGATTACAGGGTAAATAAAAATTAAGTGTAAATATTCTTGGTCTGTTTAATGAGACTCCAATAAACCCACATCACATCAAGGTGTCTCATAGATAAAGCACCATATAAAGCTAGTATGCTTCCAAAGTGGACTTGAATGTCACTAAGATGTAATTACTTCTTTCCTTCTCAGAAGGAAAGGCTCTGAGGGATGAAGAAATCCTGCAGCACCTCCCTGTTGGCACAACTGCTACCTTATACTTTAAAGATTTAGGGCCACAGATAGGATGGACTACGGTGAGCTCTGCTTCAAGTCTGAGCCATTTCAATGGCTAGTTTTCCACAGTTAATCCTTACGTCACTTTTTGTTTCTCTCCAATATTTCTGCATGATGTCTGTTCTGATAGTGAATGCAGGCAATGAATCCTCATTGCTTCAGTTCATTTAATCAGGGAAAGCAGTAACAGATTGAATGCCTATTCAGTTCTCTGGGAGAGCAGCAGTGGAAAACCTGCTGCAGGGTAGGCTGGCTCTGCAGAACTAAAATTCAGATTGTCAAATGGATGTCTACTGCAAAATCATTATGAACTAGGTATGCAAATGCCTTTGGCAATCTGCTCCACCGGACCTGTGTAACTCCTGACAAAATTAGGATTATACTCCATTGAGTTTGTCCTACAAAGAGGCATGGGAGCAACTTCATATGTCAGTACTTGAAGTGACTTCAGCAAGAAAATGCATAAAATTAAGATTAGTTGCTGTCTGCATGTGACTGTGTCCCAGGATGCCAGTGACAGGCCAATGACGGCTGATAATTTCTGCAATATTAGCAGCAGTCCACAAAGACCTTGCATATTTACTGTCTTAGCTCAAATGCAAATTTTATCACAACTCACTTGGCAGGCAACACAGCACTGCTGTTTATGCAGTGAGGTGACCAATGACCCTTCTAGCTCTCTAGAAGGTCCTTGCTGCACAGTATTACACTAGTTCCAATAAACAGCACGATGTCAAGGGAAAAGTACCTCATAATTTAAAGACATATTTACCATTTATTAGCTATGAGATATTAATAAAACCCTGTGTTGATTACAAATAGCAAAGACAATGTTAATAGGAGGTAAAATTTAAAAAGTCAAATATGTTTTGCAAGACTGAGTCTTCACATCTTTACTTTGGATGCAATGCTGATAAATCAAGCAGCTATTACTCAATTCAAAACCCAGGAAGACAGACAAAGGCCTCTAATGGCAGTGTAGACTTCAAGACACACATGCATTAATATCCATCAAAATATCACAGGGCAGAGTAACCCCAGGCTTCTACCATTTCGTAATCTTTTGCTCTCCCTGCCCTTCAAGCTACTTCATTCAAATATAAACTAACAAATAGTTTAGTATTATCAAATCAAAAAGATGAGCCTCTCATCTACAAGCAAACCTGATCTTCACCAGAGAAAATGCTGATCATAACAGAAGTCCGTAACTCAGCTTTTCTGAGTATCAAAACAACTCTAAACACATTAGAGAACTGGGATTGTTTGGTTTTCTTTTTTGTTTGCTTTCTTTAGTTGTTGGGTTTTTGTTTGTTTGCTTGTGACAGAAGTACAATCAATTTCCCTTCTTTCTCTGTAGGTGAGGTATGGACCTACTTTCCTCACTTATAGATGGGTGGAAAATTCAGCTGTTAATATTTGGTCCAAAGTTAACTTCAATTTAAAGTGATATTCCTAAGAAATACACACCTATCGGAATGAATTCAAGTTAGAGAAATAGCTTCTCTGGTTTCCTCTCTTTTTTTCCCCTTTCTTTTTATTTTCCTTCTAGTATTCCAATTAAAGCTTGTTTGAACATAGAATGAAATCATTGTTTCCCAGGACAACTGCTGTGCTAACTGTTCACAAAGATGGGGTCACTGTGAATACTTACAAGCTGTGTTTCGAGTTTAAACAAAATTCATTCAGTAGAAGCAGAACTCCTATTTCTCAAGACAAATTCTTCACCAAATTTCATTTTAAACCAAAATAAAGCAACAGCTTTTGAGTGCAAGAGAAGGGTGAGAGCTGCATAAATGTAACATGCATGCATATTTGTCATGATCTCTGGGCTGCCATTGTTATCTTTTCATACCCATACTGTGTCTGCTGCACTGGCAATGGCTGTTTGAATGCAACTGAGGCGAATAATTGCAAAATATTTAAGTGCATGGCTACCAGTTTCATAGCCAAACCTTCTACTACCTCCCTGCCTCTCTTAATGCCATCCTGGATGTGTGGAGGTGTTTATCCCACTGCATTAGTTGTCACAAAGAGACCAAAGCAAAACCATCATCTAATTCAGCTGTCTAATGATTTTCTCTCTTTTTGCAGGTATTTTTGATAGAATATACAGGTCCATTGTTCATCTATTTTGTGTTTTATTTCCGCATGAATTTTGTCTATGGACTGGATGAGAGGTTTACATCAAGTCCACACCCAGTAGTTAAGTAAGTCTGTTTGCAGGCTTGAGCAGTATTTCTTGTAGTCTTTTTCCAAATGTCTTGCCACACATGGCTTTTTTAAGCACTCTTAAATGCTTTTGTCTTGCTGTTTCTAGCTTGGCATGTATCTGCCATTCTTTCCACTACATCAAAAGGTTGATTGAAACAGTATTTGTTCATCGATTCTCCCGTGGGACTATGCCACTGAGGAATATTGTGAAGGTAAATAGTGCCAGAGTCTATCCACAGCTGCCCTTGTAAATCCAGCCTAGCCAGCCTATGCTCTGCCTCTGCACCAGAGACATTTTGTGTGGCTTTTGTAGCAATGCACAGCATATCTCACCCATAAAGCTGCCCCAACTTCTTTCAGATTTCCTAATGTCACTATTGTATAACCCATATGCTGTCATACTGTTACTAATATTATAGAAGTCTCATTACTTTTTAGAATTTTAAACCTTCAGTATACCCTTCCTTTTCACTCAGCGAGATCCTTGGGTGTGAATGTTTTAGTAACAAGTTAACTTTAAAGGTAGTACAGGCAGGCACAATGGTGAGAGAGCTGCTTTCTTGGAAAAAAAAAATCTATTTTTGTAACAGTCATTTTATATCTGCTTTGCCCCTAAAATTCTCTTTGTTGTTAAGGAACTGTTAATTTACCTTGGATCCAGAGCAAAGCAGCTCAGTTGTTCTGCATTTTCTTCTCCACAGGAGCATTCCCTGATGTCACCAGCGCTGCTGTGGCACAGGGCAGCTCTTGGGGTGCAGAGTCTGTTCCCTGGGTGTCTGAGAAGTAGTACAGTGACTGCATGGTTATGCATAATTATTTTATAAATGTTTGTAAAAGAGAACACACCAGTAATCAAAAGTACAACTTAGTCTAAGGAAGACAAGAGATTATCAACTGGAAAAGCATTTGGGATTTAGGCAGTTCCTTGCAATTTGCACTATGGCAGTGATACTTGCAGCAGCTGAAGCTCTACCTTGTGGCCAACTCCTTACAGCTGTCCAGTGGCTCTGGTCCTTCGGGTGATAGCTTTCAGGAAAGGAGGGTCTGTAGTGGGGCAGTGACCCTCCAAAAGAATCCTCCCTCGAAATTTATTGGGCTTCCTGCAGCAAGAGTTGTTAAAAGGTTCACAGATCTCATTCTTGACACAACAGATCTTGCAGATCTCTTGTTCTTGACACAACAGTAGCTGTTTAGCAGTGCTTGGGTTTCATTTGCTTTTATAATTTCATTGGCCTTGGTGGTGTTACTCCAAAATTCTGCCAGTGTGAAAAACATCACATCTTTTTTTCCCATTTTTCCATCACACAGAAGTGGTAGACAAGGCTTCTTACTTTCAGGGTTTGATCATATACACAGCAGATATAGATAGCTTCTTTCCTAAGTGCAGTGGAATGCTATGGGGTACAGGAGATACTTCAGCCTCAATAAGCAGAAATCTGAGATGGGAATTGATGAGAGATGGGATTTTCATCCCTTTTTCCCAAATGGAACTAGGAATAAATTACTCCCTACAGTGCAGCAGCCTCACCAAAAGCAGAGCATACTAACATAGTGTAATTTTTTCTAAGACATGATTTTTCTAGGCATTGGAAAGGTAGAATACCTGATTTATCTGGACCTAGTAAACAACTCCTTAGGGTGAATAAAATAGGCATTAATACAAAAATTGTGTGGGGATAAAGAACTAATTGAAAGAAAGATAATTATGGCTGTGCCAAAAAAGGATCAGTCAGACCTTTAATTATAGGGAAGTACCAGAAGAATTCCTCAAAGATTAGCCTCATGATTGGTCTTATATGGTCTTTCTTTACCCATGAACATTTTTGTGAGTAAAAGGAAGGGATATCATCACTTTGTAGAAAAACATCTGGAGGAAAGAGAACATTAGATCTAAATAAATATTATTTAAAGTATTGAAATAGTATTTATTTAGACAATATAAGAAGACAAACAGAAGGGTACATGCTGGTCATGAGTAAACATAGGCAGGATATTAAGAACTATGGATTGTCAGTTGCAGTGGAGAAGATGAAAGTCCTAACTGTAAGTTTGGAAACTGAGGAATAATTTATTTCTGGGATCCCTGCAATAGCTGAACTTGACCTGCAGCATTATAAGAGACTGTTGTAAAGCTTTATTATTCAGGATTCACAGAAACTCTTTCTTTTGTCCAAGTGAGTTTATGAAGTCTGCATGTTCCTATTTGAACCTCACTGGAGGCGTTTGGATGAGAAATATGGATTCAATGGCAGCTGGACATTTACCAGTATTACTGTAAAGGTCCTTAGCAGTGGTAGACCCCACTCATCCTGAAGTTTCTTTTCTTATAACCGAGGAATAGTCTTGCAGCAAATCATGTTCTTTGGGTGATTAGCACTTGTTCAGTTCAATTAGAACATGCATTGTTGGGGACTGAGCCATGATAATTCATTTTTTAATTCTACTTCACTGAAATCCATTGCCATATGTTCCATCCTGTGCCAAGCCTTGAAGCTAGGAGAAGGTTTTCTTGAAGATGTCATTCCAAGATTACAAGAAGCTGTTTCCATCTAAGTTTGTACAGCAGTCAATAATTTGTGTCTGTTGAAGAAGCTAATTTTAGGGAGGAAACAGTAGTTTATGGATAAGACACTACCTATACTGTTCCTCACTGGAATCATTCTCTTGGTTCTGCTGCATTTCCTGGGGGAAAAGGAAGTCATCACAGGGAAGCTATTTTTTCTGCTCATTCATCCCACCTGATTTGTAATTACTTGTTAATAATTTGCTCTTTTACATCACTTATCTCTTACACAATCTCATTACAGGGGACATACTTAGTGCTTGTATTACATCACACCCAAAAGGGTATCCATTTTGTCTGAGGTCTCTGGGCATTGCAGTGGTTCAATTAACCCTGAGAAAAAAATGGAAATGCAACTGAATGTTTGATACAGCTGCTTGCAGCAGATGAGGGGGCACCAGCATTTTCAGAAAAATGCACCATCAGACACTGCAGTCAGCTAGTGCAGGTTGGAGACGCTGAGGTAATCACTTTTCCAGGGTATTATTGCTAGAAATGCAGTTCTGGTATATACAGGGGGAAAAGACTGCAAAATTCAAAGCAAAACAAAGTAAGTTAAACCAGGCAGGAGAGCCTTGGATGGGATTTTTGCCTGCATGAGCAGGAAAGGAAGTGGTGAAGGAGAAAGCAGAAACACCTAGGAATGTCTAAGGTATAGGAACCTATTTGGAAGGCCAAGAAAAAGAAAGAAGACCAGGAAGACTAAGAGGATCAGAGTTTTATTTAAAATTGAAAATAGGATGCAAGGAAAGATAAGGCAAAGAAAAGAAAGATAAAGAGCTCAGTTGTGGTCTTGCTGAAGTCCAGGTGATAAACAAACATACCCAAATACATCAAAAACTGAGGCACTAGGTTGGGTAAAAGAAGACTAAACTGATGAGAGGCAAATGTTTGAATTGTTGAGGGTTAAAGTCTGTCTGCAAGAGAATGGCACCTAGAGGTCAGAGCACAGAGCAAAGAAGAGGAAGGGCCCAAGAAAAGGCCTCCCTCCCACCTACAAATATATAAGGAGGGAGAAAATAGCATGTCACCAAGACACCAAAGCAGCAATGCCTGTCAGAAAAAACCCCACAGGAGGCAGAGCCAAGGAGGCCAAATAAGAGGTAGAGGTTGTCATTGTATGTAGTTTTTTTCATGGATGAAGCCTATGAACAAGCACTGAGATTGGTGAGGAATGTGGCAGTACAGCCATGAGTGACAGCTCATTATCAGTTTAGAGAGTGGAAACTGCACGGCAGAAACACAAGGACAGCAGCAAAAGGGACTAACTAGACAAATCACAGTGAAAGTGTAGAGGAAAGCATCAGGCAGGAAAAGTTAAAGCATAGGAAAGAAAGAAACTGATGGCGTGAAGGAAAAGAGTACAGGAGATTGGGCAATGCAAAATAGTGAGTACAGCAGAGAGGACAGTGCCCAAATCTGGTCTTACAGTCTCAGGGGTCAGCAAAACAAGTTTCTCTTTAACATGCAGTCTGTATGCTCTTCAACTTTGCCCAATGGCTTGCCAGACAAGATAATTTTGTTTTCAGTCATATGGTCATACTTTCTAAAACTGTTTATAAATTTAAGAGCTCCAAGATATTTTAGAGGAAATCTAAACTCTATTGGTACCATTTCTTTTCTTATTTCCTGTTACCTGCTCCCACCTACCACACTTAGTACTGCCATTTCTTGTTGTATTATCAGCAAGTTGAAGGATTGTCCTGATCCATTGTTATCAATAGTCCTTGCAGCAAATAGTGGCCTAAAAGACTGTACTAAAACAAAGAAAAATTGCTTATTTTTCAGAACTGTTTATATTACTGGGGATTTGCAGCTTGGCTTGCATATTACATCAATCATCCTCTTTACACTCCTCCTTGTAAGTAGCAAAACAGCCCTCAATGATTTAAGTATTTATGTATGTACTTCCTGTACTAGTACTAATGACATGCAAACTCTTTTTTTAATAGCTTATGGGAAAAAACAGATAAATTTTGCTGTGATCATGTTTCTGGTAGGTTTCTTGCTTTTTCTATAAAATGCTAAAATATCTTGCCTTGATTCTTTTGTCATATAAGTGGAGGACTGAATAGGATAAACAGATACTTAGGACTAGGACATTTGGGACATACTGCTAAAGCTAACCACTTGCATGCAAAACAGACAAATCTGTTGGTTTTTAATATGATTTTGTACAAAGAAATATTTTGATTCAATGTCCATTCCAAGAATAGGATATTGATCTGTTGGGATGATCTCTCATAATCTTTAAAAGTTTGTGACCTTGTGTTTAAAAGCCAGTGAGTTTGTTTTGTGAACTGTCTATTGAGCGTTAAAAATCACAACAGATCATAAATCTCAGAGAGAACTGGCCAGACAACTAAGAGAGTATGTTGCTGATAATTTCCAGTGATAAAATTTCATTTTGCTGAGCTTCAAAACCTGTTTATAGTTTTCTTTATGATTCAAAATTCTTCAGTCACTGTTCATTCTCACAATTCTTGGGAACACTTCATACATGGAGAAGCAAAGTCAGTGTAGCCAATAAGATGTACCTCCATACAAAGGCTTTTCCTATGTATGTGTAACTTGTTCAGAACATCAGCTACTCACTTGCTTTGACAAATTAATCATCAGTGACTGCAGGATCCCAAAGCAGCTTCCCAAGATGAAAATTCTGTGAGGTCATAATCTATTCACATTTTATTGAGAAACTCCGTAACAGAAAGCACAGAGCTGGGAATAAACTCAGGAGCTCTGACCACTAGTCATTTTCTAATAGTTATGCATTGCAGACACTGGAAAGTGTCCATAAACATATAAATGGGTCATTTCAATACACTGTCTTCATAATTGATTGGGGCAGCATGCTTTAAATCCAGTGAAGGAAGCTGGGTCAGTTACATTTCATGACTCATATCAATTATACTCTAGAGAAGAAAACTTACTTAGAGACCAAACTGTATCCTTGGAATTTGAAGAATTTGAAGAATTTTTGAGAAACCAAGACTATGCAAATAAGTTTTTTGATGTTTTTAAAGGCATAAGAATAATCAAAAAAATAAAGCAAGTATCCCCCAAGTTCACTTCTATCCCCTGTGCTTTATTTAGATTTTAAAGGGATTATGTAAGTAATAAACTTGATACTTTGGACATGGAGTCCACAGTTTCTTTAAAATATCATAAAGATATAACAGAATATAATATGGACTCATATTTGAATGGAGATGTTTCATCCTTCTGTCAGTAGTCTTAGTTAAGGATATCTATTGTGTTAATAATAGATTATTTTCCTTTTCTTAAATATTTTAAAGAACCCCAGGAAATAACAGGAATAAAAGGAAGAAAAACAAATAGAAGGGAAGAACATTTTTAACTCTGTCATACTTTTTCTTGCAGCTGTGTGAAGCTGGAAATTTTTCCATTCATGTTGCACTCAGTGACCTCCGGAGAAATGGTAAAAACTGCGTCATCATTTTCAATTTTGTGCAGCCATTCAGTGCTTCCTTCAGTTGCTCTGCTTCAGGAAAGACCTGATGCTGGGGGGTGTTGATACTGTCAGCTGACTGCTGTGGGAGCACAGGTTGCTCAGCACTGTAAAGATTGGATTCTAAGGGAAATCAGACAGTGCAAGGACTCTGACATCAGACTGTTGAACAGCATTTCTTAACTTACTGCAATCTTTACTGTTTGGGCTGGGTTGTGTTGGGAGCAGTTACATTGGTTATATGCCAGTGCAAAAGGAAACAATGCTGCTACAAACTCTGTTTTGGTGGGCAAGGGAAAGTTCCCTCATATGTATCCCACTCCTCTTGTGAGTCCAGAGGACATCCTCTCTTCCCACATCCTGTTTGTCCCTCTGACAGTCATGAGACACAGAAGTAGGCAGAGCTGGGTTGTCTTTACAGAAAACAATATATTTAGGAATATGAATATTTTGTGATTTGTTTTCTAATCTATAGGATCCAAAACCTGTAAGATCCCATATCCAACAAAGAATCCTTTCACATGGCTGTTTTTCTTTGTATCTTGCCCAAACTATACATACGAGGTATGTATTTTCAAACAAGATGTTCAGATTTTAGATTCGCTGAAAACATTTTTGTTTCTTTTAGAATGTTTTACATGGAAGAAACCTCTGAAACCGTTCAGCTCAGTACATTTCCCCTCCTTCCCTAAACCCCATGAAATCAGGTTGTGGACCAGAATTTGTCTGCTCTTCCTCCCCTCCCTTGGGTCAGTACTGATGTGACTAACCTTACACAGACAGCCCTGACCCTGGGTCAGTGCTTCCATGTGGCTGCTAGACAAGACATGCACTGTAAAGCAGGACAAATTCTGCAGCCAGGAACAGGGAGATTGTCACTGAACATGTGTTGCAATGAGAGATGGAGGTGTCTGGTGGATTTATAATGTAAGAGCCTAGAAATATCACTGCAGGCAGGAAGGTAGTGGTCAGACAAATATAAGATACTGTGATAGAGAAAACGAGCCAAAGTCATCTTCCCCATTTTAAGTTATGCAATCACTTGTGTTGGTGGTGACTGCTTTAGAAACTTGAATCAGTTTATCATTTCATATTCCTTAATAAGAAGCTAACTCCTGACTGAGTTCAAAAGCAGATAAAGTCAGTGCAACTCAGTGTAACATTCATTCTTGCACAGAAGGACAGTGTCAGGTTTGAAGTTCAGTGGAAATCAACAGATGTTATTGAGAACAGCATTGGGCCTTGGACTATAGAAAGTTGCCATTGCTAACAATGATGCAGGTCTGATGAATACAAATTAGGCAGAGAAACAGGAAGGACACTGTTTTGATGCTTTAAAGTTTGTCATTGTAATAGCTGTGGAAGCAAATGTGAAGGTTTTTTTTTTTTTGTGATAATAAGGCACTGTTCACCTTTTTAACTAAAGGTCATTAACAACAGAAATTGAGCTGGCTGACCTTGATTTTTTTATTTACTTATACTAGGACAAGGTTATTTTGATCAATAGAGACATAAATGCAAATGCTGTCACCAGAAATATTTTCAATTTCCTTGGCCAAAACAGGTGGGGACCTGGATCAGTTTCACTATCATGACTCAGTGTGTTCCAGGTGAGTAATGTTTTGGTACTTCAACCTGAAGTGATGTCAGCAGCAAGAGCATGCTTTTAATCTGATAATGAAATAAATATTTTTTCCCTTCCTTCCAGTGGGACTGTTCACCTTGCTTTGCTTCATTCAGATGACAGTCTGGGCAAAGGATAAACACTGCACCTACTTAAGAGAATTCAAGGATTATCCAAGTCATAGAATGCCAATTATTCCCTTTTTGTTGTAAGAAAAGAAGGCTCAATTTGAATATTGCACAGAACTTCAAGAAGAAAACCTCACAAATATCCTGCCAAATAAATGAATTAATTAAATGGATTTTGGTGCATGTTGAATCTCCACTGCTAAGGGAAATTGTACGCACTTGAAAGCTACACTTCCTTACCTTCAAGAATTCTCAACTCAGAAGCACCTTAAAAGATAAGGTTTCATTGCACAGTTGCAAAGAAAAAGTCCCTGCAGCTCACTGTAACCTGTACTAGTCTGTTTAGATTGATGGATCAGAGATCCTGAGAAGTCTGTGCTGAAGAGCAGCTCCAAATTTAGCAGTGGGATTCTGCAAGACAGAAGCACTCTGGAGGGAAGACACAGCAGCTAACTCCAGAGCTCAGTTCAGCCAGCAGGGCCAGCTGGCCTCAGGACAGTGGCATGATCTGCCTTCTTTGACTTGAAGAGTGTGTGCTGCCTGGAGGCAGGTGCTTTGTAACAGACAACATTACCAAAGAATATGAATAGTTCCTGGAATAAAGAAATAGGCCATATCTCAAAAACCTGATTCGGGTCTAACACCTAATTTGCCAAAAGAATCTTAAGTAAGAAATTTTTGTCTTATTTGTGAATGTAATATCCCATTCTGGGGTTTTATGTTTGGTTTTGGTCTTCTTCATTAGTAGTTGCATACTAGTAAATAAGATTCAGAAGCAATCTAACCTATGCCATATCTTTGATATCTGGCCTGTTTTGATATAACATCTCCTTAATTGACCTTTTACCTAGCATTTTACATCAGGCTTCTCTCAGTAGTTTTTAATACACTTTGTAAATACATGAAGTGACTGCTAGTCCTTGGAACGCTCCTCCTATTTTCGGAGCCAGGGAGAAAAATCAGCTTCATTTTGGACTTCCTGTGTTTACTTTGTCACAGGATGTTCTGTGGGACTTAGTTGAGGTTTGTGTAAATCTAGTTTAAAAAGGCTACTGAAATCTATCTGAATGACATTTTAAAGAAGCTATTTTAGAATATGAAAAGAATGCATAGATACTGTTTTGTTTCATAATTAATTTATTTATCTATAATAGATGTATAGAAAGATTTTTGCAACTATTTGTAAGGGTGAAATATGCAATAAAATCTATTTTAAAACCAATGGAAATAATTATGGCAAAAAGAGAAGGCTACAGCTGGTTGCTGAAGTTTCATAATATTTTGTATAGTAAAAAGCAAGAGTGTCCTTATAAAAAAAATCTACATCAATTGAAGAAAAATATCTTTCAAAGCAAAAAAACATGACCCAGATTTTAATTCTGTATAACACAGAGAAGATTTCTTAGAAATTATTAGATATGATATATAACTGAAGCAATACATCATTATGAATTTGTTTTCAGTGTTGTTTTTCCACTAGTTAAACTGTTAACCAGAAAAAAAGAACTAAATGTCAAATGATTTCCCACTGAGTGCAGTGTGGAGTACAAGCAGGTTGAAGTTTTCCTTCTGAGGAGGTAGAAAGCACATTCCCTATTCACACCTTGCGCCCACTTAATGTCCAGTCGCAGGAAAGAAGAAAAAATTGATCCTGTTTAGTAACAAAGAGACCTTTCCATGTCTCTGCAAGAAAACAAAACTTTTGGCAGATTTGGTCATACTCTCTTTCTTTTTAATCTCCATTTTGACATTTGGCCTCTCTTTGAGGCAACTTGAAGATGAGTATGAGATCATTTTAATTAATATTTTTTTAAGAGCAAGTTTCTTGTCTGGGTCTGAGCTCTGAATTAATTCTTTCCATTCTTGCTGAGACAACCGTCTGTTTTCACTGGCAGCCTGGTGAGACAGTGAAGCAATCTCCCAGGACTAGCCCCATCAGCCAGCACTGTCTGACCTTGATAGTCCCGTGCACTCAGCACAGCAGGAATCTGCTCCTAAGCTGGGCAATGCTCTCAGCCTTGGGATCTCTCTGCTGACTCACAGCAGTTAGCGTAAGGGTTAAAGAAGAAAAACCTGCCAGCCTGAAAGCACCAGCTGGAGAATCCATCTTTGATGTTATTTATATGTCAACAAGGAGGAATGGGACTCCTCTTCTTGTATCTTATGATGGACTTTACGTTAGAGGAAGATTTTATTCTATAGCAAGGACCTGCCTTTCCTTTGACACTCTCAGCATGTAGTGTTACTGGCAGAGCAGTAGAAGTTGGCTGTTGCTAGGGCTGTTGTTGTTGAGAGCACAGTGCTCAGAAAGGTGCAAAAAAAACCAGTGTAATACTGAGTGTGCAAACCTTCGATTTCCCCTTGCTCTGCTCTGGTATGGCACGTGCCTGCCTGCACTGTGCACACACTAAGCCTGGAGACTGCAGGAGCAGTCTATGCAACTGCCTGCTGATGCAGAGCTGGGGACACCCTGGCTTCTCGGCTGGCTCCAGCTGCACGTGGATGCAAAGGAATTTCCTCATCCTCCATCTGCTGTTTAGCAAAGTTCACAAAAACCTGTGTGAGGAAAGCAGAAAATGTCACCACGTCTTCAGCTGGGAGGAGTTAGTGGAATGACTGGTCTGCAGGAAACAGACAGAAAGGGCAATCCACAGACATCAACTGAGCTGAGACACTACATTATCAGCTGAGATCGTGAGTTCCTCCTTTATTTTCATAAACTTCCTTGCAACTTCCTTCCTTTGGATGCACTTGCTTGCAAGTAAAATCCTACTTTTTCTTAAGGAGGAAATGGCTTCAGCCAGGTTTGCATGGTTTGCACAGCACAAATTTGGTTGTGATAGGAAAGAGGAGACAGAGTATTTTAGTAGGAAGCTGAAAGGCAGCCAGGAATGCCTCTCTAGCAATCCCACCAAAAGCAGCTTTACATATGTGGACCCTTTGTTACTTAGGAGAGCAGAGAGATGGGGCCAATACCCTCTGGCAAGTGCGTGTTTTCAAAACATCCAATAGACTTCCTAGGTTTTGTGTGTCTAATTGCTTCTCACAGTATCTTTGACAAAACACAGTCCAAACCTCTTATTTAGAATAAAATGCTATTCTCAGCTCAGTCTCATTCCAAATTGCTGACCTTGCTCAGACTGCTCCTCCTGAAGGAATGGGTTGTGTGAATTCTGTCATATGGGAAATGCTGTCTTACCAGCTTTCACAGGGCACCTATTTACACAGGGAATAAGTTACTGATTCATACTGATACACCCTCCTTGATGAGAGGTCTGGGAATCTTGCCTGAGAAAGAGGTGTGAGATAATTCTCTAAACAATTTGGTCCTTCAGTTATTTGGATACATCCCCATTATGTTGCCTAATTCTCACCAGACAAGCTTTGTCTGTTTTTACTTTTACTTGATGTTTTACTTTCTACTCACCTGATCTAATGTTGTTTGAGACACAGAATATTCTTCAATATGCAAATTTTCCTTATTGGAGATTATTAATCGAAAAATCTTAGCCAGAGAGGAAGAGCAAATCTGATACTGCAGCATGTTGTAGTGTTTTTCTCTCTGGAAACTCCCTGGGAAGTTGATGCGTATGAATTTCTCAGCAGGAGCAGGATCTGGAGGCAGCCCAGACTTTGGAGCTTTGATTTTCAGAGTGACAATGTAGCCATCTCCAAACCTGGGAAGGACAAGTGGATTTAGGAAATGGGTGAAGAGGTTGTTTCATCATTCAGGAAGGAAATTAGTTTTCTGCAGTTAGGAAAACAATAGCAGTATCTGAAAGATATTGCATAAGATCCAGCTTTTTAGGGAGCCCTGTATTTGCCTTGCAGAAGTGGTATGTAGCAGAATAGACTTGGAATGAGATCTGCTCAGATTGTCTAATATACAACAGAGCTGCACCCAGAAATAGGTGTGGTTAACCACTGAATTGCTTATATTAAGAATAGTACATGTCACATACACTAAATTTTCCCATTGAAAACCACTATAAAAATATTCTACTTACTTGTATTTTAGCTCCTGAATTGTGCCTAGGCATTTGAAGGTACCTTGTACCATGATGGCTAAACGAGTACAGAGGGCTTCACATTCTTCCATACTTTCAAAACAGAGAAGACATATTTGAGATAAATGCCAACAGATGTACTTCAGCTGCTTTCAGAGTCTGAGTTTGAACTGTTTTTACCTGTGTGAGGTTAGCACCACTGCTCGCCCATCTCTGAGCACACCAACAATAGAGTCCCACAGGAGGCGCCGGGACTGAGGGTCCATCCCCGTGGTCGGTTCATCCTGTAATGGAAATGTTAAGGCAATCACAGTCAGATAAAACAGGGAAAATCTATTTAGAATCAGGTCATTGTTTGGACCATAGTGTGTGATTGTTTCTCTACAGTAATCTGTGTCTTGAGAAAGCACATAGTCCTTGAGAAGCATAGGAGTGAGTGGGTACCAATGGACTCCTTGGCACAAAGCAGAAAGGAAACAAGACCATGCACTGCAGGTAGGAATACAGAGCTGTCTGTGTGGGGCACAGCTACAGGGAAGGGAGTGCCTTTTCTGGGCAACAGTGAGCTCTCACCAGGTCGTCTGACTTGCGTAAACATATAGGACGTTGTTCAGTTCAAGAAATCTGTGAAGTCATTCTGATTTACACTACCTAAGGATTTGATCCTACATAAGTCAGCTAACCCAGTAAGTAACAAAAATGTAAACAAAATTAGGATAGAAAATTTTTCATTGAACATCTTGTCTTAAGAAATTATGAGAAAACATTTTATCTGACTGTTTACTACAGGCAGAATACATGTAAAGACATATTAAACGGTACAAGGAACTAGGCTACTAATATGTATTAAAAACTTCACAAAGTAAAAGTGAGTGTGTCTAAAAGTCACAGACATACAAATTAAGGTGGTAGAATATAATCTAAATAAAGAATTTCTGTAGTAATTTCATGCTGAATTTCCCTTTAGATATGCAGTGATTTAATCACTTATTTTATTTGGCAAGAACTACATTTCAGCATTTGTATAGTTTAGTATAAATTTGTATAATTTATTCCAAAGATATTAAAGGCTGAAAAAGGTTAGGCATCTTCCTTTGTTCTGCTGGATAAAACAGCCAGGTGGATATGTTGGAAGACCATCTTTTACATCACTGGCTACATTTTGACAAGAAAAGGCAGACTGAAACTGAACAACAGTTTAAATTCAGATTTTTCTGGATTATAGATTTTATCTCAACACATTCTTTTTTGAAGATATTTCTTTTATAATCACTTGGAGTCCATTAGAAATATAGTTACACATCCCAGACTACATCTGAAATTAATTCAAAAATTCATTGAAATAGCTGTAAGTTGAGGGCAGAAAGGAGTTTTCAATGACTTTGTAGCTCTTTAGCATGTAGTGTTATGAGATGTACTATTGAACTGGCCAGGGCTGTGTTTCCATGACACTTACTAGCAAGACGAGTGGTGGGCAGCCTATCAGGGCAATGGCAGTGGAGAGCTTGCGCTTGTTGCCACCACTGTAGGTCCCTGCCAGGTGGTCTGCGTACATAGGGAGTCCCAGCTTCTGGATGCCCCATTCAGCAACCTGTGAGAAAAACCATCTGTCTCACACAGCAGTAACTGCAGAACAGACAGGATTGCTGATACATTTCTGGTAGAAACATGACAGTCCCCTGGGATTTAGCACATTCATTTTGGAACTGGGCCAGGGAAGTACAAAGTATTTATGATAATGATGAGAGGCGTTCTAACTAGGTGAGGGAAAGCCATAAAGCAGCCTCAGCTGTAGACTTCCATCTGTGCAAGAATTTAAATTATTTTCTTCTGGGATCTTCTTCATGTTTTCTTCCTTATACATACACAAATTTAAAGGCAAGAGCAAAACAGCAACCAGTGCCATTCTGAGCCGCAGCAATTGTATCTTTAGCCTTCCACTGTTGGTGCCACAGATTTGCAACTACCATTAATACCTGGGAACCTGCATTTGAGAGTGCGGTCTTGTTACTCAACTGTCCAAATGACAGGAACCACACTCAGGACTTCAATACACAGAATAACGAGCCCACTTTGGAAATTCTGGCTCTTAGCATGTTAAGAACACCATTAATCATCACAAATATCACTGTAATTATCAAAAGAAAGAGTAGTTTACCCTCTCGATTTCTTCTGCTGGAACCCCCCGCAAGCGTGCATATAAATACAGGTGTTCTCGTCCTGTGAGCAGGTCATCAATGGCATCAAACTGAGGGCAGTATCCCATGTTTTGATGGACATCAGAAATGTGGGTCAATATACTGGAGAAACAAAGAAAAGAGTTGTAGTTCTGCAATACTAGCTCTAAGACAGCGAAGAAAACTTTGAATAAAATCCTTATTTTCTGGGGCAACAACTCTTGTAAGAGGAGAATTAATTCTTCCTGATAAAAC